TACTTGTAATTGTACTTCGTACGAGCATATCTACAGCAACGATGTCGCTCGCTCTGAGCATACCGTTACTCTTCAAAACTACCTCCGTACTAATACGTACGAGTACGGTTGTACGTAGTAACGGCATTTCTACTACAACCCTACAAGAGTACCTACCAGTACTTGTACTCGTACGAGTAGAAGGAAAAAAAAAATTGAAAATCTGGATAGTGCCGCAGAGCAAGGACAAGTAGCTAGTAGCTAGTAGCTTGCTGGATTCACTTTTCCCCAGTGAGCACAAACAAAAATACTTAGTTCTTTGGTCTGAAACATCATTCTTTTTGCTCCTTCTTCTTCTTAGATGATACGAGGTACTATACTAGTATTAGTAGGCTAGTAGTAGCCTGTACTAGTATGCATCATGGGTTTGTCCTTATGAAGAACAAACTGCTGCTGCTTGTTGTTCCGTCTCCAACACAACAAAACAATACTAGTAGTAGAAAGAACAAGCATGATGTGTCCCATGGCCAACCAGCACCGCCTGCTGTCCCCTTGCGCTACTGCCACCCTCCCCTCTGTTTGTTYGATTCCACCACCACCAGCACCTGGTGCTGTTCCGGGGCACCGGATCTCTGGGTAATAAAAGCTCAGAACAAAAATATGCTAACAGTGTTGCTGCAGTAGCCGCATGAATTTGTTGACACCAATGCAATAGCTACTAGCAACAAACCAGGCAACATTGTAAACGCAAAAGGAAAGGTTGGATTATCTATGAATGGCGACAGCACCATCACCAGGGGTGAACCCAAATCACGCACCACAGACTACTAGCAGCAGCACTACTAGTACTTCGTGTTGGTTCTGTCACCAGCGACAGATAGGTGGTTGCAATCTAGTAATAATACTAGGAGTGCTGTACCCCACAAGAAATGCAAATATCCGAAGGAATTTTCACAGACCGTGGCAAAAGCAAAGCAACCAGAAGTACAACGCCATTGGTTAGGCATCGTAACCGGCGGAGAATAAAATTTCTTGGTTTTTTTTTTTGCTTGGATGTTTTGTGATGGAGAGCAGCTRGATTCCAAGAAGGCTAGTAGAGCAATCAAAATGATGCTGGATGTGTGGTGCGTCGTTATGAAGTGGAAACCGACACCGGCTCTAAGAATCACTCTTTTTCAAACTATTTCCTCGTCATCTGCACTTGCGTGCCTCTGAAACGGCCCTGGTCCGTRAGTTGCTTTGAAACGAATCACTGTGCTTCGTMATACTACGTTATTGGTTGGAAAGATGAAAGCGATGAAGTAACACGTATCCATTTTTTATCATTTAATTATTCAAAACCAAATGGTGGTTCTTACTTTCTACAAATAATGTCCATCCAACACGAACAATAGAGTACCATCGTTTTCTTTGTATGAATGGTTGCTATTCCCATTTTGCACCAATCAATTCCCAGCCCGTCGTACCACTAGGAAAGCAGGCACCAAGCGAAGCAAGTCAAACCAGATTCGCTCCGCGCAAGCAAGAAAGTCCTGTGATTCGCCTATGTTTGCCACTCTCTATCGATCTCGGACCATGCGGTGTAGTTTCCTATCACTATGATTCGTATCCATTGCGGCTCTTGTTGCCACCGTACCAGAGACACGGTCGGTAGTTTCAAAGAACCGAACAAAATGCAAACAACACACGAAAGAAAGGACTCTCTACATCACGATTTCTGCACCCGCAGCTAGAGAGGAAGTAAAGCTGTCGCCTGACGTCGTTGCTGCTGAGGTCCCTGTGGTTACCCCTGGAGTAGGCGACTGAGTAGGTGACTTCGTAGGAGCCTTCGTCGGAGCCTTCGTGGGAGTTCTGGTAGGGGACTTCGTGGGGCTGTTTCCGCCCGTGGGGGATTGGGTGGGGCCGGTGGTGACGCCCTTCTTGTCACTCTTGCTCTTGGAAGGCGCCTTACTGGACTTTTGCGATGGTGACTTGGTGGACTTTACGGACTTTTGCGATGGTGCCTTGGTGGACTTTACGGACTTGTCCGTTGGTGCCTTGGGGGACTTCTCCTTCTTGCCGGCCTTGAGTGCTCGGTTGTTTTCGATGATGATGGAACCGGAAGCGTTCACAACAGAGAGCGCCAACAAAGTGAGCGCGAAGAGTTTCGTGTAGATATTCATCTTTAGGTATTGATTGTTATTGATGCTTTGCAATGTTTGTTGTGTCCAGTGTTCTGTTGTTGTCAAGAAGGTTCCTTTCGTTTGGATGTACAAGGTGGTTTCTAACGAAATGAAACTTGGTGGGATCGCGAAGCAAGTTTTCGGCCACCGCTGATCGCACAGCACAGGTCTCGCCTTAGTTTGATTCCGTTGGAAAAAAAAAGGCAGTAACGTGCGTGAAGTTGGGGGTCGTACGGTACGTACTGTTCGTAATGCAGGGGACTTTCTATCAGCCGCCGATTTGTGACTTTTTGAAGCGTATGAGCGCGCTTAAGTTATGGTCCAAGCCGACCGGTCCACAAAAATATACAAGAATAACAAATAGCGCCATTTTGAAAGATGRAACGTCAGAGCACGCTTTCCGTTAACGATTATTATCAGGAACCGCGCACATCTAGATAGGCCTTTCAATGAAACAGTTGACTTTATCAACCGTTTGGTTTTTAGTTGTTCAAAATGAGAGCCACACTAGGMACGTAAAATCGGTACCARATGTAATTGCAAATACGCTTCATTGAAATCGATACAGAATAAATACCGTTGGTACTGGAASACAAATACTTCGAGGAAACTATCAGAGCGCGAACCCAATATGSATTGAAGTAYTCAAGACTGAATAATAATAATATCATTTCCCGCTATATGTTTCCCTCGTCCCGCAATCCCTTTTCAAGGAAAAATAATTATTCGGCATAATATCAACCATCAAGAGATATAAGGCCCAAACAAACTAGGTACTGTACGAAGTTCTACGAAGTCTCGCATGAAGAAGATGACTCAGTTCTCTTGGAACTGAACGAACATTCTTGAAGTTCGATTATGCTTTTGAACTTGTCCAAGACATAGAAGGCATATTACGAGTTCATCTACGTTAGAATCGCAACGGAAAAAATCTCGGTGCTGGAACGGATCTTGGTCAACAGAATTTTCTTCAAACCGACAAATTTCGCATCAGATTTTGTACCTCTTCCTTCTTGGCCCGCTTCCGTTCCAACAGGGYTTGCMGTTTCTCAGAGTCCTTGTCGCGGTCGTCGGCTTCGCGCAAGAATACCTTTGGAATCGCTTTTGCGGGCGCTGCCGTGAGCGTCAACTTCTCGTTGGTGCCACCAGATAGGCACGTAGGCACGTAGCTAGCCTTGTGACAATCCACAAGCCAGTGACAGTACTCCTGTCGCTGTTGGCAGTTTGTAAAGTGCTCCCCGGAATCGTTGTTGGACAGTCGGCCGGTTTGCAACAGGGCGGCATCCTTGAAGGGGCGTARATACTTTTCTTTGACGATGTTGTTGTAAAGCAACGTCGGAACAACACAGAATCCAATCACGCAACCCGCCAAGTTGTTGAGCTTCGTAAAGAAGACGATTGCCGTWATGAACTGAACAATGCAATRCGAACAGAAGGCGGAACAAAAGATAAATATTTTGAGACGAATAGAGGTGTGTTGATCCACCATGCGTTATCAATATGAACTTACTTGTCCCAAAAGCAAAGAAGACACCACAATGTGGTAAAGCTTGGGCCACTTGTCGCCACCTCCATCAAACCTTGGCCTGTATCCAAAGACGAGCACCCATCGAAGCATTGGTGCAATAACGATGTAATAAAGCAATCCAAAGGGGCCAATCAGAGGGCAGAGAGGGGCAAGGGCTGTTACACAAGCAAAGATGTACCCATTGTCAACGTATATGCGGTATGGAACCTCCAATCCGGGTCCCCTGCAAATCCGTTAGCAATAAAAAAGAACAGAGACTTGGGTGAACAAGAMCKATTGATTCAAACCAAAGATGTCGAGCTAGTGCATTGGTCGCCTCGTTGTTACGTACCCTCCCTTCAAGAGTCGATTGATCCAGGTAAGACGGAATAAATTCGTCGCAAAGTTCTGGATCGGCAAGAAGTAAAATGCTGGCCAGGTAACAGAAAATTGGAAAATGATTACAGACAGAGCACTAGGACCCAATGCTGTTGGGACGGTACTTGCAAGTTCTGTAATGGCCTCGGTGATTGTGTCTTCGATTGATGCGGTAGCTTTTCCGGGCAAGGAMAGGATACATGGGCGCAAAATGTTTCAAAACGGAATTACACAAACAGAAATTTTCCCTTCGTTAGAAACCAAAAAGAACCACACAACAYTGTCAATTGGAACTCAGCGGTGCCTTGGTGTGAAAAATGCATACATACCGCTGAGGAAGCGTCTGACCGCTTCCCATATGATCTGCCCCATGAACCGCGCCACAACATAAAAATACCAAAAGTATGTAATGGATTTTTGTTCAGCCTTTTCCATGCTCGCGGATTGCCCATCGCAATTGGCTAGCAACTTGAAGATGACTGGAGAAACACTAAATAACAATGTTTGTGTGGCGCCGGATATAGTGGTCGACCACGACACTGCCTTATCGCTCGGTATTCCCAAAGCCTCTAAATACTGCGGCTTCAAAAGGATACGGTTGATCTGGTTCACAAAATAGACGTTCGCGACCGTAAAACTTACTATAAAAACAGAAATTCTGTAGCAATGACGGTGGATTAGAGAAATTTTGCACCAATAATTCAAAGAAAAAGTGTCGAAAAATTGAAAAGGAGATATGAGAGCAAGAGTGCATGATTTGAAGAGAACGCAATACAYGTTAGTCTTTTCTTACGCCCAGAGTCGGATTTTCTTTGACGTGTACTGTGGATTGAAAGCAAATGATATTCAATAGTCACATTAGTCAAGACCAAAAGAGTCGCAAAATAAAATGACACAAAACCATTACTTGTACTTGTACAATATATAGCACATGAAATTAAAACCGAACGGTTCCATGAAACTATTCGAATCCGACGTACCGTTATATTGGGGGTCACRGGACGCCTTGAGTCATTTAAAAGGTTGAAACAATGAAAAACAAGTCAATCGGTTAGGCTTAGTACTGACTCACATCATGCTTTCTATTGAATCAATCATCCAAACTAACGAGGAAGTGCATCGCATCGAAASTACACAAAAACAACACTGAAGAAAAAAGGAATCAAGACAATAAAATGGATACAAAGTATTTCACAAGATAGAAATCGAAAGAAACAAGGGAACTGACGAATATTACTTACATAAACCCCCGGGGAAAAAACATCATGGGCGGGGCGTCGGCGAGGGGGTAGATTGGGATGTCATCGACCTGCTTCCAGACGTTCCTCCCTCCACCGCCATCAGCAAGGCACTGCCKGGCAATCACAGCGGATTGGCGGTTCGTAAAGGTCACCACAGCGTACACCGGTTTGCGGAGAATGGTCACAAACGCTTTTCCTTGTTCGCAATGTTCCCCATAATGCTTTTTCCGCTCGCGCTCAACATGGCCGTAGTCCTCACCACGAAAAATGCGGTGCCAGAGACGCTTCACCTTCGAGAAACGCTTCTGCCTTTCCTCGTGAGATTGTGGGTTAAGAACAGCATTAGAGTGGTCGACCAATTCCAACGGTCGACCAGTCCCGTTCCTGTCGTCATTGTTGCTGTTTTTGTTGAATGGCACAGACGTAGTCGCATTGGATCGCCTCTGGCGGATTCCAAACGAGGATTCTTTTTGTTGATGCTCGGCGTKGGAGTAGTCTAGGGCTTCCGTATCGCCTTCCAGGGTGCTGGGTAGCACATTTTCGTCGCGATTTTCGGTCAATAGATTCTTGCAGCTCGCCTTCTTGGYCACCTTATCCCGGGCTTYGATCAGTTCCTCCTGCGCCTCCTTTAGTCCCTCGGTCAAGGTCTTCTCCTCCTCCCGGAGCTCATCAAGGTCATAATGCTGCCAGATCTGTTTCTTAAGGTTGGGACGGCCCGCCAAGAGAGCACACTCGTAGGCAAATATGTTGAATTCCTCGATACCCATTCCGTCGACTAAGCTCAGCCCGCTGTCGACTTCCTCGCCAAATCCAAGAGACCTCGCGTATTCCTGTATATTGAAGTCCTTGTATCGAAAGCGGCCATCTTTGGATTCGCTGGCAACTGTAGCTGAGTCTGGGAAGATATCTTGATCYCCTTGGCTCGACTCCTCGTCATGTTTATCGGGTTCGGGTTCGAATGGCTCTTTCTGCTGCGGAAAATCGTTCTCAAGRTTTCCAGCCTTTTCGTCTTCCAGCGCCGTGATTTTCCGCCGTACCAAACGAAGGTCTTGAATCTTCAGCTCGCATGCCATCCAACTAGTCCAGGCTTTTGCGACGAGCCTGGCGTCCGGAAGGATGGTGACGGCGGCGACCGACGACGAAAAACCGTCCTGTGGAGGGATGATCTCGTCGAAAAAGTTGGTYGTGGCTACCAGCTGCCTCTCGATCTCGGTGGCCTCATCCGTGTCGTAGGTCACCATCGATTCGGGAAGCTGATACATGACGCTGTAGACGCCTATGCTTGGTGGGGTCTCACGGATTTCCGGGTGGGTGAGGTATGGCGGAGGGAGTTGCTCGGTGTCCGTGCCCACGTGGTCCGTACAATTTCGGGTTGCGTGGTTACCCGTATGATTGGGGTCGTTGGTTTCCGCAATACCAATTCGAGTTGCAGCAGTGCGRCCGGGATGTCTTTGTTTTTGTTTTTGCTGCTGCTGCTGCTGCTGATCGATCTGTTTGTCGAGTTCAGCCATTCGCTGAGAATAGTGGGTCGTTTCTAGAAAGTATTCTCGACGCAACACCACAATCGACCGCCATTCATGTACCAACAACCAGAATGTATAAATATAGATGATCAGGCATGATGCCAATATGGCCCAAATTCTGAAGTCTTGGCTAGGAATCAAACCTTGGATTTGATTARCACTGTTTCCCTCGACATTGGAAGTGTTGACGGAATCGTCATTGGAATCATCATCCACAAAACGGGACAAATCGATGGGCACCAGTTGACTGGTCTGAAATGTTACCGTTTGGGTAACTGTCGGGTCGTTGTTGTACTATTGTTGTAGAAATGTCAAAGAAAGAGTGTGAGCAGATTCTATTGTGCCAAACATATCGAAAACAAASGTAGCCAAACGAAGCACCCACTCTGTGCCAACACAATGCCATAAAATCGTCAAAAACCATATTCATTAACATCTTGCGAGCACTGTTGACAATTCGATTGTTGYTGCAACGCACCAATTTGGGCGGGATGCTRGCAATCGTCGTTTTGAGGTAGTTCGTGCTGACGCTCTTGTTGTATTGCGCGCACGTTCCTTCTCCAAAAACGGCCTTGTCACACCCAGCGGTAAGATTAATCGGAAGGATGACGACCGTACAGATAATCGCCACCAGCAGTGCCACCTTGAACATTAGGGTATGGAACCTCATAAGGACCACGGCGTCAAGGTTGGTTTTGAGAAGGGGGCCATCTAGGCCATCACGACGGGTTCCGGTGCCTGGAATTCCGGTCAGGCAGTCCTTGTAGGTGGTGTYGAACGCCCATGTGATCCAGGCCATTGGGTAGTACCAGAACAATCCACCTTTTTCCCCGTTGGCATTCGTGTGRCTTGGAAGCGTTCGCAGCAATGCGCTCTTGATAACATTTCTGGGGCGGTTGGCAATCCGAGGCGCGAGATCCTCGATCCATCCCATGTGAACARACAACCCGAAAAACAAGAGGGAGAGAATCAAAACTCCGCACCCAGCAAGGAAAGGCCACCCCACCATGCTTGCAAGACTGGTGACCGTTGCTGCCGATGCATTATGCGATGTCTCATTCACTGTTGGACTGAAGGATGGGCTGAATGACGGTATCTCTGATGCGTTGAATAATTCTTCTACGGTTGCATTTGCATTTGCATTTGATTCGTCGGCTAGGCCAGAGGCGAGTTCTATACTATCCGAATTGACTGAATCCATGGTGACCTAASCGTGAGTTTGCTGGTTTGCTTTCGTCGAGTGTGTTCGTTGGTCTTCGCGTAGTAATCTATCAGTTTGCTCAGACAAACTTGGCAACCCTCATCACAATTTCGAATTTCTTGATTCTTGACAGACAAGATTCTGTTCTCCTTTCCCACTACTGTTAACAAATATTGCAGCGAAATATGTCACTGTATTTCGGTCACCACGGTAACGAACGGGCGATCGAGTCCTCCAAAATATCCCCAAGACTGCACGTACTTACAAAGAGAAAGACCACAGGCACGTCAAGGAGGTTTCAAAGTTGCCCCAAAAACGCCGTTTCCCATTTTTGTTTAGGACTAGTACTAATAGTACTAATACTAGTAGTAGTGGCCCATGTAGTGTTAAGCACAGATGCGCAAGCTATCATTGCTCCACAGAGGACAAGCAAAATGACAACTGAAAAAAGGAATGCGAGTCCTGAAAAAAGGCCAAGTCAGAAGCTAGTAGTAGTAGTAGTAGTAGTAGTAGTAGTACGTCACACAAACCGGATCTATGGTATTGTGCATTTCACGTGGTTGACACCATCGAAGTTTCAGGGTCAACCCTTAGTCTTTTGTGATTGGATAATAGTTTAGAGAATTCCCGCACAACTTCATTTATCCAGAACATGTTTCCAAAAACAAGCATAATTTTACTTCCTTAGCATGAAAAAACTCATCCTCTGCTTGGAACTTAGCTTTGTTCTTTATCATGCCCCCCCCCAAGCTAAAGGTATTCTGTCAAAACTGTTACGGCTCAAGAGATCAGAAGAACCAACGTCCTGTATTTTACAGTGCCAAGCATGACAAAAATCCGGCGTTATCACGTCACCGAAGCTACTCACTCATCTTCATCTCAGCAAGGATTGCTTTGAATATTACGTCTATGTCTCCAGTTCGTCATTGTTCAAAACTTCTAAGGAAAAGATCAGATTTAGCCAGTGGTTTTGTTTAACTAATACCCTGGACGGACCATCAAGTGGTATGCCGCAGAATCTTGACGACCAAGTTATGTACAACCCATCCGTGGAAGTAGTTACTCTGCAATGGAATCCGTCGATTCTGATCTGGACAATGATGTTTTCTACAAACCCGCTAATCAGGAGGAGTGCTCCGACTCGGTTCTTGTTGATGTAATAAAAACACCATTCGAATATCGATTGTTACCTCCCTCAACTAAGGTCAAAATTAAGTTAATGAAGATCATGAGAGACCACAATATACCCTTAGTCGCCAAAAGGGAGCTTTATGAATGGGCTATCAAATCAGAGAGGTTGTCAGGTTTCACCTGGAGTACTGAATCCAGTTTGATCAAAACTCACCTGCAAATCTGTTCTAGAAGAATGCTACCAAGCAGTTCCTGAACTACATGGTGATTGTTTTACACCCCCTCAGCTTATTGAATGGCGTTCTAACGACAACAAAGTCGGCGACAAAGTAATCTATGTAAGGTCCTTTAGACGAGCATTGCAATCTCTCTTGACCAATGTTTCATTAATCAAAGAAGAAAATTTATCTTTTCCCAATGAAAACAACCCCACTTCTCCTTGTCGAGTTCCCGAATTTACGGCGGACTCTCTCATTTGCGAACTTCACCATGGGGAATGGTGGGTCGAGACATGGAAAAAAAAATGTCATCCGGATAAGGACAAATTGTTGGTTCCCATTTTATTCTACATGGACGGCATTGTGATAGACAGACACGGAAGCACAACCCTTTGCCCATTGAATATGACTCTTGGTATATTCAGTGATTTTACCCGATCCACTAGGCCCGACGCTTGGGAGACTCTTTACTTCCACCCTCAAGGAAAAAGCAATGTGTCTGTTGACAACGTAAACAATCTGCATAATGGTCTACAGGCAGCTCTTGCATCATTCCGTGCAATTTGTGAATTGTCAGATGATATTTGGTGGCACTACTACTACTACTACTACTACTACTACTACTACTACTACTACTACTACTACTACTACTACTACTACTAGTAGTAGTAGTAGTAGTAGGTGATTGTATGCTGGGGTAGAGTTGTGTGAGGAGATAGCACCAGACCTAGAAAATTACCATGGTGATGGTGATTTTTRTCACAAGGGTATCATAACCTGTGGATGTGACCATGTAATARAGATGTAAATTGAGTGCTGGAAGAAAAGTGAGTARAAGAACCTCTTATTGRCTGCTGAGAATTGATCAAAGTAAAAATTGAGTGAGGTGTTTGAATTCAATCATGAGGATCCATAGTATTGAGTGAATTGTGAATGTAGAATGCATATGAACCATTTAAAAATCTGAATATTATGTATAACCTTGCTGTGAACTACTAGAAGAGGCCAGAACCATAACTTCTGGGGAGAAGAGTGCTGCTACTACTAACTGCTCCAAGGGGCAGTGCCTCCATCCAAGGTAAATACCCTGTATGATACAAAGTATTYRGGTTTTGCTGGTTTAAAAACATTGAGTCAGTGCAGTTTGAAGTGTTGAGGAAGAAGTGACAGAAGGAGCCAAAGAATGCTGATCTGGCTCTGCAGTCTGTTTGTGATGTTTCTTTTTGGAGTATCTGACAAAGACYACCAGCAAATTTGGYGGTTGTTTACAACAACTATTATGAGGCAAGGTTGAAAATCTACTGATSTGAGAGATGCTTAGTAGTACTAGATGCTTCCATAGATTGTTTTTCATATACTTGGAGGTACTACAATAGCAAGGAGATAGGTATGCTTTAACAATTCTTAAATTGATGATTTGAACATGCTCTTCTTTCAAGCCATTCTTTGTCCTTAAACCATCAAGAAGCTCCCCTTGCTGTCACCATCTTTAAATCTGTGTTTTTTAGCAATGAGTTTTTTTTTTCCTCTACAAAAATCTTCTTTTGAAAAGAGGGAGTCTCCTTCCACTAGTTTGAGAACAAAGGGGACATTGTCATAGAAGTTATATGTCAGCTTGTCACACAATAAGTTCAGACTATGGTTCAATGTTTCTAACTGTCTGGTGCTAGCAAATTATATCTCATCAATTATAAGCACTGGGCAAGTCTTCTTTTCCCATGCATCATCTGGTGTAATATTTAATCTGTCACAATCCGGATGATAATCTTTATATAATGATGTTTCCCCATTGATGTTAACTGCTGCTGTTCTGGTCATGTATGTGACAGTTGGAAGATGCCAAATAGAATGAATTACTTTCTAATTCCAGTAYCAGCACCAGCCCCTGATAGAAAACTGATGAATTCCTCATTTCTGTTCATGGTTGYCTTAAGATCTTGTATGAAATTATTTACCAATCTTCCCCTGGAGTCTTTCCTTTTCTGTCATCAATTGAATTGCTGCCTTCMAACCAAATATCTACTACTGATCACTGGTAAAATTTCCCTCTTACACCACCACCACATGAATTYGTTTGATTACTTTGTGAAAGAGTGCCCTCAGATTGGTCATCATGCAATTCTTCAAATCAATATTTGCTTCTTCAGTAGAGAGGCAATCCTTCTTGCATTTGTGTTACTATTACTAGTACTAGTAGTCCATTACTTTCTTTCTTGTTCAACATCACTGTCAAACTGAGTATGARTGTTCTGGGTGCTTTTGTCTACTACACCTGGTGCTGTGGTGTAAGAAAATAAATGTCTTTTATCAACCCTTGCTCTAGAAACAAGAGCCAGTTTTAGTAGTACTACTTTTGACTTTGTTTGATGTTCTACTGGTCAATCACTATACACATTTRCAAAAGGTGGTGCTTTGTCCACAGAATAGGTTTGGCTTAGTAGCATAAACAGCTAAGAGGGACAACAAGGAAGGCACAAGAATGGTGAGAAACATGATGTTAGTAACTTTTGCATTTTACTACTAACCATGCTTGTTCTGAATGCGGTAATATTAGAAGTGCTAACAAGTGGACAAGAAAATTCCTCAAGGTTGTAGGTTAGCTAGAAGTCTTTCACTATTATTGCTATTCCCTTCTGCCCTGCGGTGATAKGGATTCATGCTGTTMRTGCTATCATTATTGTTTCTGTTGCCATAGTGATCTTGCCAAGGYGATCAAGGTCATCATTGCCTTTGTCAGAAGCAACCACCCCCACAAGACATTAAAAAATTCTTTGTTCCATTGGTAGGAAAAACAAACCATCATCATGGATGACCTCTCTCCTATTAAGTATGGAGTGAATGTTGCTTTCTGAAGGCCTTGGTCCATCATTTGGATTATTGACTTAGTCTGTTTGTAGTAACAACTATCAAATTGAAGTCAGATDGAGAATGATGAACTGAAGGAATTGATTTTTGCTCTCTAATTGAAGTACTAGACAACTTCGTGTCCCCTCCTGCTTTAATGAGGAGCACAAGGGATTAGTTGTGAAGCAACAATTTTGAATGTATTGTGTGTTGTTGTGTTGTTGTTGTGTTGTTGTTGTGTTGTTGTTGTGTTGTTGTTGTGTTGTTGTTGTGTTGTTGTTGTGTTGATGTGTTGATGTGTTGTTGTGTTATTGTGTGTTATTGTGTGTTGTTGTGTGTTGTTAGTAGAACCATTTGTTTCCTTTATATTATTGTTATCACCATGAAGTATTAACAATAYTACGAAGCATAGTAAAATAAAATTGATCTATTTTTAAGGTGGAAACCTCCCCAGAATCCATGCAGATAGTCAAGACTACTTCTAATTGAAAAGGAGGTGATAATGAATGAATGTTGCTTCTTCTTTCTGCTGCACATCAYGCAAAATGAATAAGCCTTAAGCTTGTCAGAGCTGATACAGATCCAGCTTTTCAGCTAGTMGTTAGTGCAGGTTGAAAATTCTGAAGCTAGAATTTTGTRCTTATGGGTGGCATTTTGATATCTTGTCTTCGCTTTAGTACGAGTACCTAGAAAGAAAGAACGTCTCATAAAAATCTGAACAAAAGAGACTCAAATTTGCAGCATTTCCTAGTAGCAAACACAGCGACTACTAGTAGTAACTATACCTACAGCATGGAGACTTTCGAGAGTGATAATATGAACAAATGAATTATTATTGTTTACAGCTGTATTGACAATAATGCAAAGGATGGTTTTGATTCTTCTCGTTTCGTTCGTCGTACGAATTCAAAAATTCGAGCCAGCAAACTCAAAAGAATCTGTCGTAGTCGCTAGTGAACGATTTGCTCGGCACCGGTGAACAGCAATAGTTCCTGAACCTACCAAAGGATGCGGAGGCTCTGGTGAATCTTAAAAATTGCTTCCCTCTCCTGTAGTAGYAATTGTACTCGTTACCGTTGTARMAACCGTTGAAGTGTCCGAAGGGGAGGAAGTAGGCAGTGCAGATGGGACCGTGGATGGTGACATGGTAGGAGACATGGTGGGAGCTTTAGTAGRTGCCGGGGTGGGAGCCACAGTGGTGTTGCCCTTCTTACTGCCCTTCTTGGTGTTCTTCTTGCTGGTCTTTCCTGCCTTGCTCSACTTCTGGATAATTGGACCTGGGTCCGAAGGAGCTGCAACAGGAGCTGCGCTAGGAGCAAATGTAGTTTTCTTTTCACTTTTCAAACCTTTGAGCTGACGCAGGTGGGAGTGCGCATCGGCGGTGGAGAAGAGGGCCACTGCGGCAATAATGAAAAGTTTGTTGTTCATCATCRTCTTTGATCGTTGGTGTTTTTGAGTGTATTTTTTAAAAATAAAGAATTGGATGTACTTCGCACTTTATGGTGGTTGGAATTTATGAAACGAAAGCGGTCAATTGCAGTGAAATGTTATTGTTACATCTTGTAATATGTTCGGGAAATGCTTTGGGAACACAGCGAAGATTCAGAAAGTGTATTTTTGTGGGAGACGAGTCTTGTGAGTGTGCACAAGATTTGTTTTCGTCTATCGGTACGACTATCGGGAAAAGGAAAAAAAAAATACCGACCTGTACCATCGAGATGATAGGAGTGGCAATAAAATTGAGTCGTAGGCATAGTTTTTCAGATAGTCACGACCACACCACCATATTAMTTACGGAATCCGAACTCAATWAGTAATCTTCATCGAATCGTATCAGCGATACATAAAAAAAGTTGAATACAGTATTGTCGTAACCGTTGAGCAGCTCAACATTTCCATGTACTCAGCGCGTGGTATTTTATAGGTACAAGGTACGGGTACATGATTTGTTGAGGAGATCGCGCCGTGCCGGTATATAGTATCTGTGGAGGAGCTCGCGCAGCGCGTGTACCATAAATGTAACCAGAATGTGTACTCTGTTGAGCTTCGTGTTATTTGTGTGGGAAAAATAACACGAAGCTCAACAGAGTACACATTCTGGTTACATTTATGGTACACACAGTGATGTTACTGCAAGTACTATCTTTTGCGGACATGGTTGGGTTGACTTGAATTAGAGACAGWATGTCCTGCATTGAGTCCAAGTTGACAGCTCTTGATACTGGTGATCTGAACACAGCAAACCTGTAAGAAGAACAAATGGTGTTGAGTGGACATGTGTGATGCAGATTCACATAAGTGATCCTAACTGGCAGAAGAATCCTTGGTTTCCTTTTATCTTTGATGCCAGGGATAGAATATTTTATTGCAAATGGGCAGTTTTAAACTGGGGTTTGCCTTGGTTTGCRGTGCTTCATTCTTGGATTCTCATGTAATCTTCTCTTTCTTGCTGGTTTGTAATGACACTGGATGGAGTTGTTAGTGCATACAACCTTGACAGACCACTTGGAACATAATATTTTCATCACTTGGTGGAATTGGTAGGCAGAAGCAAACATCTGGTGTAGGATGCAGAATTTCTCCATGGTGGCCTCCTTGAACTTTGACAAGTCTCTTTCATTGTTGTTTTGTTGATCAATTTTACTGCTGGTACTAGGGAAGAGAGACTGGACTTCATTGGACAGTCCCTGCGTAACCCAGTTCATGGTCTTGTATTGTTGCACCAAATCCTTAATTCTCTTCTTCCATCYGGCTTCATCTTCAATCTGGAGAGCAACTTCAAAGTCCTCCACCATGGTATCATGGAACTGGTGAGGGAGCTCTACTACTAATAGTCTATCCATTGTTTCARTTGCAGTATTAGCTTAGCTTTGGTTGGTGTTTCTATCTGGTTGCTGCTGTTTCTGTTTCTGTTTCTGTACTACTATTTCCATTTCTGTACTGTTATCTGTATTTTTGCTTTTCAGTTCATCAAAAAATGATGCACAATTTCCAGGAAAAGTCATGCGCTAATAATGGTAGTGCACTGTTTTCTACTGAGTGAACAGGCAAAGTTTCTGAAAAAAAAACTGGTGTGGCTCTCAGCCATTCTCCGCGCCAGAATTTTTCAGAAGTTGATGGACAATTTTTTAACCGCCTTTATTGAATTGGCGATAATAGTTAAAATAATGGGTTTTACCACCTGTAAAAATGAGCTAAAATTTTCTACTAGAATTTGTATGGGAATTGCCAATAACTTGCCAGTACATGGCTTGCCTTTAATAGCTCTACTGAGTTGAGGAACACACCAAATAACCCAAAGAAGGACCAATGCCACCACACCTCCTGCTGCACCACACATCCTCGGACTCCCTACTACTYTACCCCCAGCAGCATATGAGACAACTTGTACTAGTAGTAATAGTACTACTACTACTAGTGGTGGGTGCCTCCTCCACCAACAACAAGAACACCAAGGGAAGCTTCCAGCATACAAGAAGGCTGCAGGGACGATAACAAAATGGTGCATTATTGTCTTCCTGCTTGTTGCACTCATTACTACTAGTAGTAGTACAAGAAAGTACTAGTACTACTACTAAAAGCTTCCTCAATGTTTGCAATCAWATGATCAATAGTACTACTATTCTTTGACTGTTTGTTACTATTGCAAGCTTTGGATGACATTCCAAAAAGAAAAATGTCATTTTCTTCATTGGTGTTCCAACGTTGCTCGGTATTTAGACGACTGAAAACAATAGTACCGGCCGGTACTATTCAAATATTTAAATAGCCTCTATTGAGCTTACATCAAGCTCATGAATAAATCATCCTCGTTCGGCAGTCGGGAAAGTTCTCATAGTTTGTACGTGCGATTGGAATACTAATTCACTGCGACTCGAGACTCGAGTTAGCATGAAATAGTTGGTCGAACAAGTCGATGTGTGATTGAGTCGTTCGAACATWCCAATTTCTGGCCATCACACAAGATTCATCGATCCTTGAACATGATAYTGACACTGTTCTGYCATACCGTAGCCCGCTAGTTCATTGCAAACCTCCAAATCGCTGAATTCTTTGCCCTTACTCGCATGCAAGCCGTATGTMACTACTACTACAAAACARCGCAATGCACAACGCAAAAAKATACAAGCAACGATCGGCAACTCGAAATACTTTCGTCGTACTACGCCTAGTTTCCAATTCTTACTTCTAGCTCAAACAGAGAACAGATTTTGAAGCAAAAACGAGACAAAATGGACGCGACCAGGAACACAGCGTTGGATCTGAACGAAGCTGCCTTTGCTTCGGTGAATTATTATTCTGACGACGATGGAGGTTGCTCTTCCGGGTGCAAGGGCGACAAGGACGGACCCCTGCGATTGGACGATATTGACATCGATATTGACATCGATATTGACATTGATATCGAACAAGAGCAACCGCAAAAGCGATCGCAGCCTTTTGTGCCAAGAAAGGATACCTCTTCCCCAAGCCTGCTTTCCAATTATCGTTCGAGGAGAGGCTGCTACAACAACGGTATGGGCAAGCATTACAAATACCTTAAGCGGGGAGGGAAAGAACGAAGAGGCTCTCCGACTGAGCTCTGTCGCAGTTTGTTGCTGTTGTTCGTTGCGATTGGGATACTAGCTACAGCGATTTGGTCGATTGTCCGTGTTGYTTTCTCTCAAAATCTCCCAGAGGCAACGCCGGGTCCGATTTTTTCCATTATTTCGCAATCCAACCACGACAAAAACACGGGCTTCGACGTTCCGTTTGCCAATCGACACAATCTGCATTTCGATGGAATTCTTTTTGTCACAGACGACGAGAAGCAGGAACAAAACGAAACATTGGCCCCTTTGTCTTTTCATGCTTACGCCAAGACGCTRGATCCCGTGACGGAACTGTGCTTTTCGCCCGGCGAGTCCAATACTACCAAGGAAATCATCCTCACCACAAGCGCCCCCGAGTTGCTCAACGAACCAAAAGTCCACAGCGATCCTTCTGCTGCCATGGCGTCCGAGATTGCTGTCTTGAGCATCTTGCTGCAATCGAACGGCGAAATCTGGCTTCCGCAGAACACGCTGGAACGCATAGAGGTTTCCGTGGAAACGGGGGAATCGACGTCTGAACTTCCCCTGTCGTGGGTGAAAACCGGGGGAGCGGACGTGCTCGATCTGAACCTGGGTCGGAGGATCACCAAGAACATCTACGGCTCCGGCGATAGGTTCGTTCTGAGAATCACAACCAATGCCATCGCTTTGTTCCGGAACGACGACCGAGAACTGCTCGGCTTGTGGAGGAATCCCACCAATCGAGCACTCATGGGATCCTGGGAATCCGTGCCWCTCTACGCCCAGATATGGTTCCGAGAGCCGCGATCTTCCATGGTGGCATACGCACAGAACGAGCTCTTGGATTGAGTTTCTTKCGGACGCGAGATAAGGGAAGCCTGTAACAACTTGTAACACTAGAAATAGACTAAATTTTAATCCTCCGTAAAATCGAAGGGAGTATGCAAACAGAGCAACGCAATCGTTCTTTTTCGTAWCGTTTCGTAGTATCCTTCGTAGGCAASGACAACGAGCCGATAGAAATCGAGATCTGCYGGTGGTTGTTCGAAACCTTCGGGGCGACGGCCGCAGAAACCATCGATTCACCAACCTGTCGTAGTGGTACGAGCCGATCCGACAAAACCGAGCCATGCAAAAGGCCGGATTTGGCGACTGTCCTTGCTCCGGCAGCGTCTTTTCTGCGCATGCACCGTTCCGTCATTCGGGTTCATCGGTGTCGTCGAATTCCTCCGTGTCCGTAGCRCCGGAGTTCGGTGCSAGCGACGCCGCTCCGTCCACGGTGYTCGAGGGATCTTCCCGGATCAGAAAMGGCCAGCACTGGAAATTGTAGCACGCGTTGCGCATGTTTTTGTTGTGGGTCAGGATGGCCTTCTTGTCCGGCTGGTTTTTCCGGACGATGCCGAGGGGAAAGTCGGTCCACCGCGGCCCGGCTCCGGCCCGACGCGTGCCTGCTTCGGGGGGCAGGCGAAAGGGGCCCAGAGGCAGGAGCAGGACGTGCGGGAGTTCCAGGGGGTAGGTGTAGACGCCGCCCCCCGAAAAACCGTCCCCGCCGTCGAAGAGGCTCGTGTTGGTGGGGACGGTGGTCCACGCCGACGCCGACGGATGTACCGGAACGGCCGTGTCCCTCGCCCACGCCCGCTGGAGCACCGGCAGAAAGATCCGGGCGTGGGGGATCACCGCGAACCAGGCAAAGAGGTAGTTTTCGAAGGCCACCCCCGGGTAGGAAAACCGGGCCTCGCTCTGGCTGAAACTGCTCTCGGCGCTCCAGGTGGCAAAGAGCAAGAGCCAGAGGGCGATCTGGTCCCGTTCCCCGCAGCGGCAGTACCACCACAGGGCGGAGAAATCCAGGACCCAGTCGTCGAAAGGGTGTTCGASGGTCTTGCTCCCGCGGTTCCGGAGTCCCAGCAAACCGCCGTTGATCAGGATGTTCTCGTCCTTGCCGGAGGGGTTCTGGGAGCCCAGCAGCGATGCCTGCGGYGAAATGTCAAAGTAGTCGTCGAGGGACAAGGGGCCACCGTCATCGTCACCGCTGTCGGCGGCGGGAACGGACGGAAAGGCCTCGGGGTTGAAGAAAATGTCGGCGTCGATGAACCACGCGCGGGGGTCGGGGGAGGATCCACCACCACCACCACCACCGGTGTTCCTCTGCGGAGCGATCTTTTGAAAGTAGGCCCCGAAGGCAACCGGTTTGTAGTAGTGGACCACGTTTTTGTCGGGGGATTCCGGGTTGCAGGTGGTCCCAAAGACCCTCGCGATCTCTTCCGTGTTGCGCTGGTGGAGGACCGGTTGTGGTTTTATTTTTTTGGAGCTCCCCTTGGGGTTCTTTTTGCTCTTCTTCTTGAGGACGGTGACCTTGTCGTCTCCGCCGCCTCCTTCGTTCTCGGAGACCCCACCGATCCATATGTAAAAATCGCGGTTGGTTTGCAGCGCGTAGCTCGCCTTGTTCAGGAAACATTCCCAGATGAAGATTTGTTGCTTTTTCAGCGAGGTCGAGCTCTTGCCGTACCGCAGGTACTGCACGGTGTCGACCATGGTCAGGATGGCCGAGGACGACGCGTCCGGGTGGTCTTTGCTCGAGGGCATCAGCCTCTCTTCGAGCTCGGTGTGGTTGTACCGACTCTTGAAGGCATCGGGTTCGTTGGAACCGCTGCTTGCATAGTATTCCCTCCACCGGCCGGGGTCCGACCGYACCCTGCAGAGGTTGGAGGCGCCGCAGGGATCCTCCGACAGGTCCGTGGCGTTGGTTCCGCACTGGAACCGGAGGAGGGGGCCGGCGAGGGGGTTCTTGTCGTGGCTGGTGGTGTCGGCGTCGTCGCGCTCGACCTCGAGGGCGGTGATGGTCCCGGTGGGGGGGACCAGCCACAGGACGCAGTCGGTCCGGACGGCCTCCAGCGCYTCGTCYAGGGAGGTTCGGGCCGCCTCGACGATGGACTGGTACCCCTCGTGCGTCACAAAGTGGTACCGGCTCGGATCGTCGATCTCCGCGGTGGCGTTGATGGCTGCCAGGCGGTCGTTGAGCCTCTTGAARTTTTTGCGGATGCTGGCACGCAGCTTTCCCTTGGGCTTGGTGCCCCGGCCCCGGACCTTTTCCTCGGCGGCCAGCTTCTTTTTGAGATTTTTTTTCCATTCGCGGCCGAGGTCGAGCAGCTGCAAGGCAGCGGTAGGCGGCGGCGACGGTGGAGGCGAAGGGTCCCCGAGCTCGACGAGCTCGCTGTCTGCGGATCTGGAGGTTTCCGGAACCTCCGCTTCTCGAGGTAAGGTCGATGCACTCGTCGATGCGGTCGTCGGTGCGGCGGTCGGTGCCAAGGTTTCCGTCGTCGCGTCCGTTTCCGCCGTGTAAGCCCTGYCCTTTGGTGGGGAATCGGCGGCGATCGGCGCCGMKGGATGCCTTGCAGCAGCAGAAGCCGCTGCCCCAGAAGCAAAGGACGCCGCCGACCCCGTGGTCTCCCGGACCACCCCCACGCCCGCGAGGCTCCCCACCGCCGGGGCCGAGACCGATTCCTCGTAGAAGAGGCCCAGGAACCGGTACTGGTGCACGAAAATCGCCGCAAAGCCGAGGCAGGCCACGACCTTCCAGCAGTGCGAAAACAAAAACAAGATCGGCGGTGGCCTGCTTCCGACGCTGTTGCCGCCGCCGCGGGGAGGCGCCATGGCGATGTGTTGTGTTGTGCTGTGATCTGTTGCGTTGTCGTGCGCTGCAATGAAATTCAATGCGGTGCGATGCGAGGCTTTGGTTGGTGCGGCGTTGGGGTGTTTCAAGCTTGTTCTCCCTCTCGTGTTTTTGGTATTCTGCAAGGCTCTGTTTGCATTTTGACTGCCCGAGTCCGTTTGGTATCCCTTCCGCTGCTCCGCTACCTTATTCTCTGCAGCAGGACTCGTACTCGTAGCTCGTCGATCCCTATTGCTATTGCTGTAGTGTTCATCGATATCCCTTGCCGTGTTCTGGATGATGGATACAGTAATGGATAATGGATAATGCCAATACTTCTTCCATCGGAAATCGGAAACTACTCGTACTTTCTCTACATGCTGTTACGTAGGTATTCCACTTTACGTACTTCAAGTACGCTATCATCGACAAACCTACCTACCTGTACGAGTAGGTACGAGTACGTACGTACGGTACCGTAGCTGCGAAACGGCACTTTTTTTTGACGAGAGGGAAACATTTTTTGAAACAGGGGGGGAAAACCGATGTTCGTTTTTGAATTTGAATTCGGGCAGGCTCTTACTGTACGGTACTCGTACTGTGGATTGCGAATTGCGAATGGCGAATGGCGAGGTCAATGCGATTACGTACATACGTACGTACCGTAATACAATATGATACCGTACTCGGTAGGTGCAAATTGCAAATCGTGAATCCTCAAACCAGCAACTCACACGAAACCGGCAGACACAAAAATAGATCGTTTTTTTTTTCGCCCCGACCAACAAGTCTACTGTATCCCCAAYCAGAGATACTAGGATGTTCGCTTTGGATGTTCGCATAGATGGTCGATGTTGGTATCATCGTCACTAATGATTCGTTCGATGGACCAGGYGGTCTGATGCGACAACTCCACCGGTAGTAGTAGTAGTAGAACGTCTTTGGGTCTCTCGAGTGGAGGGAGGGCTAGGCTGTTATTAAAAAAAACACAATTACTATTATGGACAACACCGCTAGGGGAACAAACTGCCGCAGGCATCGTGCGCACCGATTCGATTCGATTTGATTTCCTGGTACCGGCACCACGCCAAAACGCCTGTTGGGACTTCTTTGCCCTTTCACCGGTGGGCAAATTCGATGCAAAGCGCAGAACAAAGGCATTCGATTCGATTCGATTCGATTCGATTCGATTCCCTTGAATTGCATTGCGTTGCGTTGCGTAGCATTCGAATCCTCCCTTCTGGTTCTATCCRCAGACCGGAACCGTAAAGTCCCTCGAGAGGATCACGTCGTAGGGCGCGAGGCTGTCCCTCACGAGCGAAATGACGTAGTCCCCTTCCTCCAGAGAGGCAAAGACCAGGTCTCCCTCCGTGGTTTCCGCGTAGTCCCACGAGTCGTAGGCATTTGCATCTGCGTCGGCATCGGCATTTCCATCGGCATCTGCGTTTCCATCGGCGGACCGCATCCAGTACCAGTCTCCGTCCCTGGGGTCGTCGAACCGAAAGGAGGCCTTTGTGGCCGAGGCGTCCCCGGAGCACTCCGAGACGACCGAGAGGGATGCCTCGTCGGTCCAGGGGAGGCCTTCGGGCTCCTCGTCGTTGTCGTCCCAGGGGAGGCCTTCGGGCTCTTCGGGAACCGCCTCCACCGGAGCGGTGGTGGTGGTGCGGGCGGTGGGAACCGCCGTGGGAGCCGCCACCGGGGCCTCGGTCGCTTCCGCCGGCTCCCGCGGGGGGTCCGTGGTCTCTGTCTCGGCCCCGCTCCAGGYTTCTTCCARCGGGTCTTCCRAYGGGTCTTCGAGGTCGAGGTCTTYGTCTTCGACAAAGGTAAACTCAAAGTCGCTGGCGGCATTTTGTGAAGAACCGCCGACGGCCTCGGAAGCAGCCTGTCCCTCCGCCCGGGCCGCCTCGGCCGAGGAAGAGGCCAGGCCCCCGGTGTCCTTCTCCTTGGTGGCCAGGACCCAAAAGCCCGCCGTCGCGCTCGCGGCCATGGTGAGCAAAAAGGCCAGGATCAGCAGGACCAGCCTCCGGGGCAGGTCGTAGGTCTTCTCCCCGCAGCCCACGGTCCAGTAGGTCTCTCCGTGGCGAAAGGCCTTGCCCTGCGAATGGTGCTTGTGCTTGTGCTTGTGCGTCTTGTACAAGACGGCTCCCCCCTCGGCAAACTCCAGGGCCTCGACCTCGATGCCCTCCTGGCTGATTACCGAGCAGCCCTCGGTGCTGCTCACCGCCTCCTCCTCCGACCGGGACACCTCCGTGGCCTTGTACGCCTCTGCGCCAAAGGTTTCGGAGGGTTGGTCTTCGTGTTCGTGCTCGATCTCCGGAAAGTCGGGGTGCCACGAGGCGCACGAGGAGTTCACCGAGACGTCGTCGGTTCCGCATCCCCACGAGAGGACCACCTTTCTCTTTTGCTTGGGCGGTGTGGAGGGCATCTTGTTTTGTTTTGTTTTGTATTGTATTGTATTGTATTGGCGTTTGGGTTTGTGTGTCTTTGGGTGTGGGCTTGTGTTTGTGGATGTGTTTGTGATTGTAGGTGTGTTTGTGATTTTGTTTGTCTTTGTTCCACAACGTCGTTCTGGTCTCCTTTTGATGCAATTCGATTCGATTCGATTCGATTCGATTCGATGCGGTGGGTGGGCTTGTCACTCACGTCTTGTCTCTTGCTGGCTTGCCTTGTTGGTTTCGGCTGTTGATGCTGCTGATCGGTGCAAGTRGTGGATCRAWTTSGTAGTGGATCGATGTTACCGCAGTGCACTCGTAGTTTCTTTGGATCGGAAGAAAGGAGACGAGAAAAAGGGAAAAGTCGTACGAGTACTTTACCCGTAGTGGCAGCAACTAATAATACCTGTTGCGTCGACTTTGTGCCGTCCCACGTCCTGTTTTGGTCCTTGCCGGTTGTTCCGTTGCTCTAGGGGAAAAGTCGGTACGGTACGTACTCGTACTCGTACTCGTAGTGCTTTGGACCGATACTCGTAGTGTGCAAACATACTCGTGCTTCCTACCGCATCATACGGTACCGTACATTACTCGTACCCGGCATTTGTTGTTCCTTTGCTCTGCACTGCTCTGCCTTGCTCCCGGCGCATCGCATCGCATCCTGCCGGCGTTCGGCAGGGACGGATCCCGTGTGCAAGGGCTTTGCGCCTTGCTCGCGGTCGTTCCCCAACCGCAACCCCAACAGAAAGATGGTTCGGGCTGCGCCTTCGTCCCGCACGAGTATCGTACAAGACGGGACCCCGGGGTGTTTCGTGTCGATGGTACGGTACGGGCACGAGCATGCGTGTACGTTGGGGGATTCGAACCGAAAGTGCCTCCGATCCACGGTCGCGGGGCTATTTCCATCGGATGCGTCCGGGACACCCCCCGGGCCGGAATCGAGTGAATTCGTACCGGATGGCACGGCATGGCACGGCAGGGTCCCGTACGGTACTCGTATGTCCCGGACAGCATTGCATGGCATTGCGGCGAACGCACCCCATCATTCGTTTTCTTCCGCGACCTGAGCGCGACCGGCTCTCGCAAGTGGCCGAAAACAATAGCACYATTTAATGTAATAGTGTGTGACACTATTGATTTTGTGGATGGATCGATTGTTTTGGATTTGATTGGTTCACGGACGATCCATAATTGTTGATGGATGAATTCACTCACGAACAATTACGAAACAAATAGGAAGCGGCATGACTCTCAGATGTCAAACGCGCGAGGCAGTCCATCCCGTGGGCATTCGTAGGTTTCCACGTATCTATGCGTAGCGGCACGGAACCAGCCTTCCCGCAAAATTTGGTTCGGAAGCATTTTTGTTTGTTCGTTCATTCCCAAAAAAATTTCGAACCGGTGGCCCATCCCGGCCATGGATCGGCCCCGTACGGTACGTACCGAGTGCTACGTTACGGTACGAAGCACCACCGCACCGTAGCGCAGAACAAAATGCCCGCATCGGTTCCCACATGCACGCCCACCACGCCGGCCGGGGATTCCCGCCGATTTTGACGGGAATTCGGTCGGTGCCGGATGTCTTCCCCTAGTCGTTTTTGGCCGTACCGGTCGAAAATCCCATCGAAGCAAGGCCGGAACGAAGCGGGGCGGACGGAACGCAAATGCCGTGCTATGCTCTGCTCTGCCGTGCCATCGAAGGAATCCGTGTTCGAACACAGCAGCAAGAGCATCCGCAACAACCCAAGCCATCCTACCGAAAGGGTGTCATCCGCCAGGAACCGAAGAGAACAGAACCGAAATCCACCCAACAAACAGCCTTCTTGCCCATAGAAGCTGTCAAAGCAAAGCAAAGCTAAGCTAAGCTATATAAAACGTACCCGCTGCAGTCGAACCGAATTTAATTCGAATTCGAAACGTCACGGATCACCAGATAATTTGTTCTTTCGCAGAAAACGATAGTACGCACCGTAGGGTTGAGAGCAGAGCAGAGCACGACACAACACAACACAACGCAGCACAACACAACACAACGCAGCACAACACAACACAACGCAGCACAACACAACGCAGCACGGCACCCAAGCACGATGGCAGGTTCCAACACGAACGACAACGAGAACGGCGACACCGCCAGCATCCACAGCTACGGCAACGCCAGCGTCAACAGCTACAGCAACAACGCCGTCGGCCCGGAAACGATCGGCGCCACGGTGGGCAATGGCAACGGCAACGGCAATGGCAATGGCAACAGCTACGGCAACGGCAACGGGCACACACCGCCCCACGCCGAGGCCGAGGAACGGTCCCGGAGGATGATCCTGGAGAGCTACGAAAAGGCGGGCGTCGACCTGCCCCTGGTGACCCT